CCCTCCAAGAGATGGCGGGGCCTGGACCCCCAGAAGGTTTCCGCTCCCGGCGGAGTAGACGTTCAGGTAGGGGGGGGCGTTTGCTAGGATCCCCGAAGGGTTTTTTTTTGGGGATGTGGGCCGGGCGGGAAGTTTTTATTTCTCGAAGGGGAGAAAAACCCGATGGCGCCAACCGGGACCCAAGAGCTCCAATTCCCCTTTTTTTTTTTCTTTTTTAGTCAAAGAACCAGCGGGGACCCCCCTCCTGCTTTGTCTCCCTCCCTTTGGACATTCCCCCCCTTCCCCCCTTCCATGTTTTTTTCCCCCCCGCTTTCTCCCCCCCGTAGCCCCCCCCCCCCCCTCTGTCAGCACAACTGCACACCTCCGCGTGCTCCTCTCCCCACGCCGTGCTCCCTAGCATCCCCAGCTCTTCGCCACTCCAGCTGCACAGGATGATCGTGCGCATGGGCTTCCACCCTTCCGCCAACAGCGCGCCCAGCCCCCGCGCCAGCTCGATCAGGGAAGCGGTTCCCGAGTTGGGATCTAAATCATAGACACCGCCGTCACACGTTGGGGGGGGGGGGGGTAAGCGGGTGCACGGCCGTCCAGAGTCGTGCGCGTTCTTGCTTGATAGTCTCGCGGGTGACGCTATGGGAAGGGGCTGGCATCGAGCCCCGCGTCTTAGGAGGTACCTCGTGGTGCGATATTTCGAGGAAGCGCTACAAGAGCTATAAATTCTAGAGGTCAAAAGAGCGCGGAGGGGCCACACAAGCAAGACAAAATCTCCGGGAAAATCTGCCAACGGTCGGACGTTACACGCACATGCAATTGCCCCACACGCCAAACATGTGCCCAAAACCTCAATAATCGAGCTGCAACATCACCTGTTCTCGACACCCATCCTACAGAGCCCAACAAAATCAAGCAACGGGGTAAGGCAAAACACAAAAAAACTCCCGAACAACACCCGCTTCGTCCTCGTCTCCCCCCCCCCGGTCGGAACACGGCTCACCCACGGCCCCGAACACCCAGGCATCCCTGTGGTTTCCCAGGACGACCGGCCGGTCCAGCCCCTCCGGCAACGCTCCCGGAACCGTTCCGATAACGTTCCACACGGGGCCCACGTGCTCCTCGTTCTCGACGACCATCTTGACCATCGTGCCGCTGCTGGGTCCCACGGTGTAAGAAAAATCTAAGCCCCCCTGGAAGCGGTCAGGGGCGGCTTCGCCGCCCAGGGCGCGTAGGAGAGGTTCTGCGTCCCCGTACTGGTGAGAGGAGGAAGAGTGGCTTTTAGAGGATTGCTGGCTAGAATGGACACCCAATCGGGGGATTCACAAGACAAGGGGGGGAAAGATGCCACGCGCAAAGGGGCAAGTAGCGTAATTTGCGATTCGGCGTTGGCCTCGTACTTGGGTGGTAACGGAGGTCTTTGGATGCTTTGACCGGTACGGTTGACAAGGGAGTTAGTTCAAACAAAACAAAACATGCGAAATCTCCGTAGAGCAGCAAGTGACGGTCAGCACTGCTGAGACGAAAAGAACGGCAGCGGTGCCGAATAAACCAACACGCTCGCTTACGTCTGGCCCAACACCCCAAACATCCCCTCGACCCCCCCCTCTCTCACCGATATCGGCATCACCGGAATGGCGGGAACCAGCTCCTCCTTCGAGAAACCGCAGACCTTTTCCACCGACCGGGGGTTAGCCGCCCTGGAGGGATCTCCCGCGCAGAGCGAGTTGAACTGGCAGGAACCCCGCTGCACCGAGGAGGAAGGCCGCCAGCCGCCGTCGGGGTAGGTGGGGCCCCGCTTGAAGCCGTCCTGCTGGGGGTCGCTGTAGATTATCGTGCCCACCGCGCCTCGCGCCTGGGCGTTCATCGCCTTGAGGCCTCGGAAGCAGTGGCCTGTGTGGGTGGGGGCGGCGGGGGCGGGGGAGCGGGGGAGCGGGGGCGGGGGGGGGGGGGGGGGGG